TGTTTGGGGGGGAGGAAGGGGTTGCGATTGTTGACTCGCGAGGCAGCGAGGGCGTCCGTCATGGGGAGGTCACAGCGGCGTCAGCATGAGCCTGCCCCTGACCATGTGCAGGACACATTCAGGGGCCGCTCCCCTGTGTACCAATGCTGCGTTGCACTTTTTGCAACAAAGTATTTCAAGGGAGCCAATTCCAGGCGACGAGGCATTTCACGCAGATGAACTACTGCAAGGACGTCAGCGACGAGGCTTTGTACGAGATCGCGTGACGGAGTCAACAAGAGTTCGAGAGCGATCAAATGGAGAGGGTTGTCAGGTACGTGGCGGGGCGCGGAGTCGATGTGCCTGGCATGGGTGGTGTGAGGGGAGGAGAGGCGGGGCGGCAGCCCCTGGAGGGAGCGTTAGGAGGGGTCGGGGGAGATGGTGGAGGTGGAGACACGGAGGAGGGCGCGATCGACATCGATCGCGAGGCGCGTGTCCCGGGTGAGCAGGGAGTCCCGGGACCCGAGGACGTGCCTGAGGTTTATCCAGGCACTGGGGAGAGGATGGAGGAATTTTTGAGGTGAGCAGCCAAGGGACCTGTAGGGGAGGGTTCTTCCAAGAGGAAGGAAGGTGGAACAAATCCGGCCGCCGCCCCAGGTGGGAAGAGGCTTCGCCAGCAGAAGGTCACTGACGTCTACGGTGGCGAGTGGGTTGCTCGCCACAAGAAGACATTCCTTCGCTGGCTCTATTCCATCGGGGTCCCCTTCAATGCCTTTCGCAACTAGGCTTGGAAGGCATACCAGCAGGTCCTTCTTGAGCAGCCTGGTTCCCCGCGCGCTGTGCTCCCCAGCCACAACGAGATTGCGAGTATGCAGGCGGTGGAGACCCACTGTGAGGAGCTGGCGGAGGAGTTGGAGGAGGTGAGGCAGCCATTCAGGATCACTGGTGCCACCCTCCTCTCCGACGGGAGGAAATCACGAGACGGGAAACCGATTGTGAATTTCCTTGCCGCCGGCTCGCGAGGGGTCGTCGTCTACACGACGATCAATCGCGAGGGCGAGCCGGACGATGCAGTGCACGTCCTTTGGAAACGGGTGACCATCTTCCACGAGTTTAGTTTCGGCGGCCCGCAGCGGGTCAATGCGATATGCACAGACTCCGCATCGGCGTACGTGGGGGCTGTGAGGGCATTGGCCTCGTCGGGCATCCCTCCTGCAATCAGGAGGATCACTTGGCTTCCGTGTTCCGTCCATGTCTGCAACAAATTGTTGTTAGACATGGGGACGAGTTGCGACGCGTTTGTGGACGCGATTACACACACTCGTGTTCTGGTGGTGTTTTTCAAAACCCACCAGGCTGCCCTTTATTTCTTTAGGAAGCGCAGCCCCAACAAGGGGCTTGTGCTTTCTTGCGAGACGCGGTTCGCATCTGTTTATTCTCTGTTGGAGAGACTGTTGGCCCTACAGGACGCTCTGCAGGCGATGATGCGAGGGGATGACGGGCGGGAGTTTGCTTCTATACCGTGGTCCGCCGATGTGTGCGACATGGTGTGTTGGGTGCGCCGGCAGATGAGATGGGAGCCTTGGTGGCACACGATGGCCACCATAGTCCACATCATGCAGCCCGTCATGGAGCTGCTTAGGCGGATGGATCGTGGGGGGCAGTACATGTCCCTCATGATCGAGTGGACACAGGATCTTGTCTGCCGTGTCACTGATGCATGCGCTCCTTTGGGGAGGGTTTTCGCTGACCGCATCATCAGGCGTGTGCAGGATCGCACACAGCACATGCTGGAGCCTGCTCACTGCGCGGGGTTCTTACTGAACTCTCGCAGGCGACATGTTGAGTACTTTTCGGGCGAAGCCAAGAGGTACATTTTGACGCAGACGGGTTACGAGGAGGATGATGTGGAGTACATCATTGCATGTCAGCAGTTTGAGGACTTCCACATGCAGCAGGGCACATTTGGGGATTGGGGAGGGGGGGAGGGGCGTGCTCGTGGGCGTGCTTGCAGCGGCGACAGGGAGACGATTGAGTGCGCGTCCTGGTGGTCTGAGTATGGGTCTGGCGCGCCTGAGTTGCAGTGCTGCGCTCTTCGTGTGATGCACATGTCGTCTTGTGCCTCTCCAGCGGAGAGGAACTGGGCAGTCCACGAGGGCATTCACACGAAGAAGCGCAACCAGTTGGCCTTTGACAAGGTTGTTCAGCTCGTTGAGATCACCGCGAATGTGCTGTTGTCGGAGTATCGGCGGGCCGGGTGCGGTTATGTGCTGCCATGGCAGCGGGACGAGGGCATGCTAGACTGCCAAGCCGGACTGGAGTTGGAGCCAGTGCGCACGGGCACGCGCAGGCGGATGACGCCGGAGGAGATTGCCCGTCAGGTTGCGCTTATCACACAGGATCCCATCAGGGTCTCCGCACCATCCATCGTTGAGGCCGTATTTGGTAGACGTGCTTCCATTTTCCGTCCTTACCCCAGGGAGGATGATTCCGACGAGGAGCCGGTACCCGAGGCAGCGGACCACCCCGCACTCCGCATTCCCCGTGAGATCGACGAGACGCACCTGGATCCCGAGGAGGACACCAGGGCGCATTCTGCACGACGGGACGCTGACAAGGCGGAGAGGGAGATGATGGGGGGAGAGGAGGAGTTGTGGGGACCGTTCGGGGAGGTCGCTTCGACGGGCGGCACAGGAGCGCGGGCGACGAGCCCCGCTCCGACGAGGCAGGAGTCGTCCATGCCGCCACCTTCTGCTCCGAGTCCTGCACTGCCATCGCCCGTCGCGCCATATGAGCCGACCACAGCAGCAGAGGACATGGAGGAGTTGGCGTCCTCTTTGCCTCAGCGCGAACTATGCCACAGAGGCGGGGCAGTCCGACAACTGAGGTTACGATCACCTTCTCCGGGGGTCTTGCAGGAGGAGGGGGGACCGTCGACATCAGCAGTGGAGGGGGAGATGGCAGTGGAGGGGGGATTGGCGGACACGACGATTGCAGATGTGGTGGACCAGCTAGCTGTAGCAGCAGCGGCTTCATTGCTAGAGGAGATGGCAGCTTCAGTGTTGGCGGAGGAGGCACCAGCGCCATGGGGAGCAGATTTAGTGGAGGGGCAGGCGGGAGCAGCTGGAGGAGCAGTGGGAGGAGCAGCTGGAGGAGCAGCTGGAGGAGCAATTGCACTGGATGGGCTTGTGGCTGCAGCAGCAGGAGCAGCTGGAGGAGCGGATGTAGTGGAGGGGGGAATGCCAGGAGCAGTGGAGGAGGAGATAGAGGCACAGGAGGAGGTGTCGCGTGGGGACGGCGACGAGCGCCTCATGCAGCGGTTCCTCACGGAGCAGTACGATCCGGTAATGGCGGGTATGACCCCAGGTGTGGCGAGGGGATTGGGGATGTCGGATTCGCAGATGGGGAGCCACCTGGACTTAGATTTGTCGATGGGCCTTCCACCTAGTTGCGGCGTGGCGACATCGACGGATCGCGCTCCATCGAGGGACGACGCGGCTGGAGAGAGTCTCACGCAACCCCAGAGAGTGACTACGACTAGGTCTCCGGATGCGGCACGCGACATCCTAGAGCGAGAGAGGGCTCGACTTGTGGCATTGACTAACCTGTGTGCTCAGGCATTCGCACGGGCGTTGGAGGACGCGTGGCGTCGAGAGACAGGGGGGGGGGGGGGGGGGGGTGTGCGGGGTGGGGTGGTGGCGGGGGAGGACGTTGTGGAGAGAGTGGTAGCACGGGCGGACACTGAGGCTGTGCAGGGTGGGTGAGAGGCAGCGGATGTTCATGTGGAGGGCTTGCATCAGGCGATGGATGAGGCTGTGCAGGCAGGACGGCGGCGAGACGAGGGTGTGGGTGACGCACGATGTGTGGTTCGGGAGACAACGACGGGTCTAGTCGTTCCGTTCTCGGGCCTGCACTTGGATCAGGCCCGACAGTCGCAGCCGGTGCCGGTGGCAGTGCATGGTGTGCCGCCGCCCGTTATCACGGATTTGGGGTCCGAGCCGGTGGTTGCGCCACCACGTCTTCCTAGTCACTTTGCTCCGCAGGAGGTCCGCCGTCCTTTGGATGCAGACGAGTTGGCGAGAGAGGTTGTCCGCGATGTGACTCGCTTGGACCAGCAGGTCCTTGACGAGAGGCTACAGCATCCACCATGGCAGGCGATCCCTCCAGTTCCATAGGGTCCTGCATCGCCAGTGTGGTCTGGGTCTACCTCCACCGGAGCACGTACGGTGGGAGATGTTCCAAGGGTTTCAGGTCGCGTCGTGGAGACGGCGCCACGTACACGAGACATGCCACCCCCTCCTCTTAGACCACTTGTAGGTGATCCGTCATCGTTGCCCACAGGCAGAGGCTCTCGATCTCCACACACGCCTGGGAGGTCTAGGATTCGGGACACTACAGCCGTTGTGGGGGACGTGAGTGACACAGCGTTGTTCGGGAGGACAGACATAGATTTGGATTCCMCCCGCCGTGTCACGAAGCACACTGCACGTCTACAGCCGGGTTTGGAACCCCGCGGCGGCAGGATGACCACAGCGAGGGAGGTGGCAGCATCAGGTTGTGAGCCTCAGCGAGGTCGCGGCAGAGGAGTGTCCGCCGATAGCTTGGAGTACGCTCTGATGGCAGCGACGCGTGTCATACATGAGCAGACTCCACGCAAGCGCGGAGTGCCTCCTCGTCCATGCCCCGTGCTCGCATAGGGAGGAGAGGCACTTGGAGAGACTTCGGGGGCAGAGGGGTTGGGGATGCCTCGTGGATCGCGCCGTGAGCAGACGGTTACAGAGGCTAGTGCGAGGGTTGTTGTGTTGAGGAAGGCAGGAGCCCCTGTCACCATCGAGGAGGATGATCCTGAGACAGATGTGGCAGTGCGGGAGGAGGACGAGGACTATGAGGACAAGGAGGAGGGAGAGGAGGAGAGCGAAAGAGGTTCCGATGGTGACTACGACCACTTCGAGCACGAGCCCCGACCTCCCCCACCGAAAGGTGCAGCCAGACGGCGCGCTGCGCAGACTTCTTCATCATCACGAGGGAGGAGGAGTTTGACATCCGGCACGCGAGGGGGTACGAGGAGACAGAGCGGGAAGGGGAAGAAGCGTCGTTGACAAATGAGGCCAACACTCCTTTTTCCCCTGCTCGCACTGCGGTTCGTCATGTTGTGCGGTCCTAGTTTTTTTGGTCGTCTCGTCTTGCCATAGTGTTGTTAGGCTCTCAGTGGTTGTGTGCGTGCAGCGTGCTACAAATGTATTAAATGATGTTTCCTTTGTTTTCGGTGTGTATCATTTTGGTACCAGTATGGTGTTCGTAGAGTAGCGTTGTACCAGTAGGGTGTTCGCAGAGTAGCTACGACACGACCTGTACACTACAGTTTCGTTTGTTTTTTTTCGACATGTGGTACCACTGCCTTAGCAGTAGCCTGTGGCCATGTAGGATACATTGCATATGCTTCATTTTTCATTTCTGTTTTCAGTGACAGGTACTTTGCATCGTTGAGGACTTTTCATGCACAGTACATTTTCCATGTACAGTTTCAGTTTCGATTGATGCTCGTCGTGGTCGGCGTGCGCGACTCAGCGCGAGCTTTCGTGACCATTTTCATCTGGTGTGAT